TACGTTTACTTACATTTGTATATTGATTAAGTTTACTTCGCCATTTTTGCAATAGTTAGCCTTCGGTAACAAGTTAACCGAGCTGATAAACGATAACATAAGTATATTGCATGACCTAATCCAGGTTCCTCTGACTAGCCATGCCATATCCATAACACATATTAGCCGGATCTGCATGGCTATCCTGCATTAAATGGCATATCACGTACCAAAAATGTTTTAGAAAGACCTTGTGTGTAGATATAAGATCATATAGATGTACGTAATGGACACGCCGATACAATGTTACCAAGCACCCTTACCTGTTACCAAGTACATGTTAATGACCAGGTAACGGGTACCAGTTTATGGTAATGCACGTTTTTCCTCGATGAAGTTACTTGCAATGTTGATGACACCCATTCAAAACAAGTAGGGCTCCCTTATTGTTGCGTTATACAGCTTTCATAAATTAATAACATGTATGATTCTAAACAAATTGTGCATTTTAATCGAACTTTTGGTGAAAACATTATTTTCAAAACACGAACCTCCAATTAATTTTAAACCTAATTGATTATATTACACATACAAGTTTATTTTATCATGACAGATGCTGTAACACTGACCGGGTCGTCTGAGTACGCTGTCCCCGGGAATAACTTTACTCTGACGTGTGACGTACCAGATGAGGCCATTGCTGTTAGCTTTTACCATCGTCCTGACGCGTCTACTCCAGTAGGTAGTGTACAAGTAGGTGGTAGTCAATGTTACAACCCGCCCGACCTCTGTACACCAGATGTCTGTTCCTGTGTATCCACGTCGACTGGAGGACGTGGTACAGTGTTCCGGTGGGTCATACAGCCACAGACGGGAGATCATGGATCCGTGTGGTTCTGTAAACGTACCAACCTTAAACTGACTGATCAAATACTGGACAGTCCGGACTTCACACTCAGTGTGGCAGGTAGGGTTCAAATATATAAATGTCAAGTTCAATTGCAATGCATAATATAAAAAAATGAAATGTTTTATGTTTGTTTAAAATATTACATATGATCCAGGTCGTTAACATCGCCTCGTGACAAAATGAACCCCGCCATATTTGCACTGTATAAAAATCTTTTTATTTCAAATTGTCCCGGTTTATGGAAGTTCAGAAACATGTTATTTATTTTAAAGTATACTTGCATTATATTATGTGACATGATTTCTTAGCAAGATTCGCTCAAATTATTGCCGAAACTCATATCCTGTAAGCTACATGATCCAGTTTTCAGGGAAAGGTACTTTTATGTAAACTTTGTATATATTCACTTGTTATAAAGTTTTTGTTTCTACCTAGTACGACAACTATGTCGGAAGGGACATCGCTGCAACATTACTTTCTCTAAATAACGCAAAGAAAAACGAAACCACACAATTTGGAATCTGCCTCGTGCGTAATCTATGATTTTTCTTGAACTACGGCACATGCAGTTTGTCCTGGTGTTACATTCAACACAGCATCTTCTGCAATGTAGGTTTTGTTCTGTGTGTAGTTTAACTGGTGATCTGAGGGAGCTGGTTCCGCTTTATACATGCTTGGTTAAAATATTATTTCAATGTTTCTAAAATACTATACAGTAATTTGTTGTTTCCAAACTGATTTAACTCTGATGTACATTGGTATGAAATACGGTTTCTGTTCCCGAGGCCTCAGTGCTGTAATTACAATGTCGTAGCACACATCTTTAAAAAACATTGCTGTCATACATTTTGGCAAATTAGAAGTATAGCCAACTTTATCGTGGTCATTAGTATCGATAAATGTCAAGCAAGGTCAATCAAATCACGGCCCGGGCTATGTTTGATAGGGTCCGTTTGGTATGTTACTCCAACAATGTACAGAAACAAACGAGTTGAACCATTGAGTATAGAGTGCCGATAAGAATTGGTATTTAAATGATTTTATTTTTAAAACACTGTCTGAAATAGGATGTAACAGCCATTCACTTCAACCTTGTATATGTAGAAAAAACAACATTCTACCCTTGTACGAAAAAGAAACATTGCATTTTGGACTATTACTTAATATTATGATGGTGTAATTCCATCATTAGATAGTAACTATGGCCTTGACCATTGACCAATGATTATCGTTAATGCAAATGTAACTAGATCTATTATGTTTGATGAAAGTCTTCCAAGGAATGTGCGGCTGCTGGATTGGTGATAAGGGTAGTGATACTCGTTACATACTTAGTATTTGTACTTGACCTTTGACTGATAATGCCCGTATTCAAACTTTTCAAGAGAACGTCAAGGACAAACATATCTGAAATACGAAATAAGGCCGCAAGAGTGCGTATTTGGCGAATCACATGTTCGAAATGTCGGGAAGCTAAATCCCCTCAAACATATAACGTTACCCAATGTTTGTATATAAACAATAAACACACAGCCTAAAATTAAGAGATGTTTGTCTTGGTATGACATTCGTTAACATTTCTGGATTGCTTGCCGAACTAGATAAAATACCCCAAAAAGCAGATATCTGTTCACCGTTTTAACTGAAGATTCATTTAGCATTTAGTTAATATCCATGTTTACTGCTTCCACCATTCAAATAACATTTCAACAATAATACTTAGTGCATTTAGGATCCATAGAGAAACCTGACATTGAATAATATGTATGTGACAACTACAAATGTACCTGTAGATGGTCCTGGAACCTCCCTAGCCCTGTCCCCACAGGACACTTTGTACACCAGAAATGAGGGGGAAACGTTACCGGACATCACCTGTACAGCTGACTGTAGACCCGGCTGTACCTTTGTGTGGACAAAACCTGACAACACCAACTTTACCGCCTCAGCTGTGTTATCACTGGGACAACTGGACAGGTCAAAGCACGGGACATACAGATGTACTGCTTGGAATGTTATCGGGACGTCAGGTATCACTACCAGTGTAAACGTACATTGTAATTATATTTTATATCAAACCAGTTTTACCTTCTCTTGGAATCATACACTTTAAATCTCTCTCACGCCACATTGATGTATTTACTATTCAATGTTATCCGGTTTAAACAAACTAGGTATATAATATACATTCAAAAGTATATTATGCTTATGGTGATGTTATCGAAACCTAAACTATTTACAAACTGTATGGCATTTGTACGGTACTGTACGTTTTGCAAATCGGAATGCATTACTACGGTAAACCTCCGGTCAGTTCGAATAGACGGATAGTTCGAGTACACTTTTTGAACAATAAAAATAATGGTTTTCTGTCTAGTGATAGTTCGGACCCTGCTTACACACGTTTCGGATTGTTTGAACACACAACTTGAGTACTGAGCTTACGTAATATTATTGATCAAGGTTGGCTATCGGAGATGCAATAACAGCCTCGCGAAACTCGCCTAAACTTGATCTATTTGCGCATCGACAGCGCGGAATCTTACCGTCACATCGCTGACAGACGTGTGTATTGTCATGATATTACTGTGATTACAATTTGATTATATAATCGCGACCTGGCCAGCGATCACTGATTATGACTAAATTGATGCATTACCTATAAATGTGCCAAAACAAAAATATCTTACCAGGTGGTCGATCGAATTATTAATCCGTAATTGCAGTTTTAATCCACTCTCCGCATTCTGATCAATACAACTGAACTTTCGTCATTACTCGAGAAAACATCTACTGCTTTGCAGCCTACATACTTGTCTCTGCTTTGCAATTGAACTTAATAATTGATTATCAATATGTAAGTAAATATGAGAAAGATATATATACCACTATCCATCTCCAGATTTGCAAATATATATCGCAATAATGCCGTCATTGTTCCGTATCAATGACTTGGCTGTTTGCCGTGATTTTTGCCGATGTCGACTTGGATAGTTCGAACAACTCTTTATTTTAGCGGCTATGCTTTTGTTTAATTCGAACAGAATTGACAATGTTTATTGAATTTTGTTCCCACAGACCGGAGGTTTACCGTTTGTCGTTAAACCGATGAAGTGGGCTGAGGTCGTGACCCCTACCCCAGTCCTTTAGGTTTTGAAAAAAGTAGAAGTCTTGTGAAGGACAAACTTTAAATTCGCCGACATCTTTTAGTGTCGCTTAAGTATAATATGATGAAATATATATATAAAAAAATCAGCAATCACATGGCACCAACCTTAGTTACTGAACATGAGTTTCATCCCGAAAACCAACCTAATCGTTGTCCTGTTATATGTTTATAACGTATATGTAATTTGACACTGGCATCCCCAAAGATATTGCGGTAGCATAATATACAACAAGCAACCCGTTTATTCATTATTGATGTTTGTAAGACAGATGTTGTGTCACAGCTGACTTTGTTGTATTATGGGGTCTACATATTCATGTCACGTGATTAGGGATATGTACTTCCGGTTACCGACAAACAAGAGGCCCAGAGGGCCTGTATCGCTCACCTGTTTCTTTTGTAACATAAAACCGAAATATAGGTAACTTCAGACCAAATTTGGGAAGTAGAACACAAGACATTTTAACATCTCTTAAACGGTTCTTAAGATATTGCTGTATGAAATTTTAAATTGTAATCTGACCTTTGACCTCATTGCTGTAATAAATGACTGTAGACCAAATTATTCTCAAACTGGGGTATCCGGTAGGACCTACCGGTATCAGTGTGACTAATTGTGATGGTCACATAGGGAGGGGTTTGCTGCTAGAGACAGTAATATACCTAGCCACTGTGTTTGTTTACACTACCATGCTACAGTAGTGATCTCACCAGTGGTCAGCTGTCTGTCGCAGTTCTATAGGTCTTTGATGTTCTAGGCTCAGTTATTCACACATTGTCAGCTTTTTCTTTAAAGTTTATTTGGAAATTGTACCATATGGACTCTGTCTGCTAAAAGTCTAACTTATTTTTTTTTTTTCAAAATTTACATGTGTGTCTACCATGTGATCATTTACCCGGTATTATCACATGTTTTAATTTAGCTAGGTTTTATTATGGATTTTACTATTTTCTTATAAGCTCACAAGATTTGATCAACTGGTTCTTGAACACCATCAGTATATAATATACAAGAAATAAAAAAGAAAACTACTGATACTTTATACTTATCTGTATTCTATCTATATAACTAAAACATAAAGTATCCGTCAATTACTGTAGGTACTTGGTTTCAGTAAACCCCATTACATGGGGGTATATGACCTTCTAAAATGGATTTCGACCCGGAAAATAAAGGTTTGTCAAATATGGGGTCAGAATACAAAATGTATGCTTAATATTCCTAACAACAGTTTGTATGTCTCACAGAAGCACCGTCTTCCATCAAGGATGATTTGACTTTCATAACATTGACCTTTCATCACATGACCTTGACCTTACACCTATGATGTAATTGATATCAGTCCAAACAATATCAATTGAGCAATAGCCTACGTTCCTGTTTGAGAGTGAAGATACTAAACTAATGTTTCCTTTTCAAACGTATCAAATGTGGGTGTTGAGAGTAGATTACAAAATCACGTAACTTTTCTCCTTCTACACAGATGTGCAATCTTATAACTTAAATTTAGATAATTGGCTATGTACATGAATTATTTGAGTTGACAAGGTGATACTAGTGTGGGCCTTGATGACCGAAACGGTCCCTCGAACTCCCATTATGAGTCGATCCCACAACACACTGGTAATGTTAAAAACAATCTAACATTTTGTCCTTCCATTTTATTTTTCATAATGTAAAGAGTAAATGAAACAAAATGTATTTAGGAGATTGTGTTTGATATCTGTGACCTATTTATATAACATAATACAGTTATGTATTCGTATATAAATGAAGAAGAAACAAATTTAAGTAAAATATAAGATTTAACAATCAATTTCAAAACAATTGTTCTCCCATGAATATATTTCAGACCAAAAATTAGAAAAGTGTTTCTTTTCCTTTGAATTCAAACTTCATTCCTATTAATGAAAAGAATAGCAGAATAGTCACAGTAACCTTTTAGACATCGGAACCGATTGGACACAGGACTTTATACATTTTTGTTTTAATGAAATGGCAAGATTTGTATTTCTGATTGCTGATAATCAGAATAACTGTAACTGGCGACATAAATTTCTGGATATCCATCGATTTTAAAGTAAAAAGTTTAGCAGTATTATCATACTTTTGTTTGCATACCCATTGACCGTTCCGTGTGTTGTTCTAACAGCTAATCTGTGCACCCAACAAAGGTGTGCAATCGGTCATGAGTATCTAGTCTCGTCTTAAGTAAGGGTAAACCTTGTGGTTAATTGCATATGCTGACCAATTGTGTCGGCCGAAGAGGATCTCATCGTCGATTTGACTGCTTTGCTAAGAAATAGACGGGGCAGGGGGAGCAGTTGGGCATGTTTAATATACAAGTAAATTGATATCTAAATAAAGAAATAATTGCTTGGTTGGTCTCTAGGGATGAACACCGTGTTTTGTTTGAGCCAAAATGTTGTGTTCTGCTTTTAGGTAAAGCTAACCACACGGTGCAGTTTTGTATTTCTCCTCATGCGTATGACGATTAAAATCAGTGGTATGATGGTGCTTTTCATCCGTTGATACATTTACGTTCTATAGACAAATACCCGCTTATTACATTTACTTCAATACCACGTTGCTCGCTGCGTTTAGTTTGGTGAGGGTGGGTAATTTACACATAATGACATTTTATCGTAGTGAAGAAGATTGACCGGTTTAGCTATATGCGTGATTAAGCTATATTGTGCGGTTAAATGGCCTTAGATACCATTGGTTCTTTCAGGCCATTCAAACGGCCAGTTCGGCCAGACATCTGTATAACGGCCGTTCTTGTGGGGTTCGTTTTGAGAGATAGTATCGGTCAATTGCTCAGCATACGTTCGAACAGTGTCCTTCTATCGGTTATATATCATTCGGTCATCATTGGGTCCCACAACAAGTGGAAACTTGCCCGTAGAAAATGCTGCTATTGTATATATCATATTAACCTGCTGAATAGTGAACCGCATTGTTATATTTAGATGGACCAGGAGACAGTATAACATTTAAGTCCGAGTCAGATGTGTTGGATAGCATTGAGAACCAGACCATCCCAGAAATGTTATGTTCCGCTGACTGTAGACCTCCATGTACCTACATCTGGTCTAAAGCTGGCAGAGGTTATCCAAACCCACTGTCTCTATATGTGGCCACCAGGAACAATGCTGGACAATACACGTGTACAGCCGACAACATTGTCAGTAAAGGAACAAAAACGTGGAACCTTATTGTCAGATGTATGTATATTACCGTATATATTAGAAAGGTGTACACATACATGTTCTTACATAAATATATTCTACAAACTCTGTCTGACACTGAGATACTGAATGTAGCTTATTACCTTACATCGATTTCTATTTTTTTAGTTCAGTTTTGCTAAACATATTGAAGATCTCCCAAATAAGCAGAACACGCCAACGACAACAAGTGCTTCCTGAGGTGGCAGAATGAAATGTTTTGAGAAATATGTCGTAGTGGACTCATGGCTTGACCTTTTGATCTTACTCTTTGAAAACGTGTGTCGGCGGCCAATTTCTCATACGTTTTTACCAGGATTTATTAACTCAAGATACCCTCTCATGCTGCACTTGCATACCCTGTCTGGATTAATTTAGCATGTATGTATATTTTAGGACGTTGGAGTGCAATTGATGAAAAACAGGTCAACTGTGATACATGTATATGCTTTGACAGCATATCGCTGACATCGAAAACGTATGTCAAAAGCTTATTTCCTATACCATTTCTCATGGAATAACCAAATTTGGTCAGGAAGGGTACCTAACTCCCAGGAAACAGAACATGTGTATATACCATTTTGATAAGAGTGTTTTGCCTGGCCTGTGCATGGCTTCCATTAATTTTGATTTCCACAACTCGGCGAGTTACGTACGTGTCCTTGGCAACAGGATGTATACAAGCAAACTCATCCAGATTTGTATCGTTTGTGCATGGTCCGCACATCGTGTGATGTTGTGCGAGCCAACAACTGTACGTTTTGTTTTATTCCACCAATTTTGTACAACACATGTGTATAACTATGACTCATTTCAGTTCCTCCCAGATTACCCAGTCTTAGCTACACACAAGGAGACGGTAATGTCACTGAGAACGGACCTAAATCACTTATATGCAGGGTAGAGAGTTACCCTCCGTCTACAATTCATTGGTACTATAAAGCCAATAATAGCCTTCTTCTCGCCACCCCGGATGTACTGGAGAGTACCTACACCCTGACTACTGCTGGCTGTCTGGACACAGGACTGTATACATGTTCTGCTAGGAACAGTGTCTCTAACACAGCGGTTACCAGGGACACATATATCAACGTTTTGTGTAAGTTAGTCCCACTGAGTGACTATGAGCTTCCATTTGGAATTTATTCGTTTGTTTTATTGTATTGTCTTGTTCTTAGTTATCTATTGTTTCAATAGCGTTTACATAGATCACATCAACAGTACGATAAACACCATATCAATATCATAGCGACCACTCTTTCATGAGTCCGCGAACTCATACATTTGTGTAAGAAATCTAAACTTCTATCTATGTGATAAAGCAGAAAAGGAATATATTCAATGGGATGTTATTGTTTCTGTAAAAGACTTCTTGTTCTAAGCAGTTAATAGAGCACAATTCATTAAATCAAGCTTCAGCCCGAAATGTAGGCTTCTTGAAAGAGTAATAAATAGTGACATTATATAATGTCACAATTCCCGTTCTACACGTTCTAGTCATTTAGTTTGTCATGGAAAGAGAGTATCAGATATTGCACGGTCACGGGCAAATCGAAGGAAAAGGTGGTAATGCTATTGTTTTTCAATCTACTAAAGATATCGGTCAATATCCCTAAATGAAGTGTTTGTTCAGCGACATTAGTCAAGTCATTTCTGAATTCAACAGGCAATATTTAGTCGGTAAGCATCCGCTTGTTGGGTGATCCATGAGCATTTTTATAGTTTAACAACTTCTGTTATCAAGTACAACTGTATTTATATCATTGCTGGAACATGAACATTATATGTTAAGTAAATGTAAATAACAACACAGTAGTTTCAATGATGAAACAATATTAATTCTGCATTAGTACAATGTAAAAGCACCATTAATAATGGGTTTGTTCCTAGACAAACAAGTTGTTTTCACACACTTTATTACGTTATTAGCGATTTTTTGTTCTATTTCGATTGATTGCAATCAACATCAATTCGAGTCAGACATACCGAACAGCACAGAATAGTTAATTGAAGAAAGAAAATAGCTTACCTCCCCAGAGTTGTAATAACGTGGACATGTTTACTGCTAAACAAAATGTCCTTTCAATGTAGCGCAAACTAGCCCACTATTTTGGTGATTGTTTTAGACTTTTTAATGAGAATAAAAGCATCTCCCCGGAGTTAATTTTATATGAATTCGATGGAGTTCAATTCCATCTCTGTGGCTTTTTGGTACTTTTAACGTATAGTGGCCACTAACATGATTTCTCTTTTCACCATTTCAGAATTGCAGACAAATAAATTATGATCGATATTTGTTTTCTCATTCCAGGTAAGCCACGTCCGTACCAGATTCCGAAAGATTATCAAACGTTTGAATTTGCTTTGTTAGAAACCCTAACTATTCTTGCCATGTTCATCTCAAACCCAGAACCAGTGTTCACATGGACTTTTCAACTCACCCCATTGACATGTGCCACAGAACTTGTAAATGGGGCGGACAACTTTGCTATTAAAAATAGCTTCCAGATGATTAATCTATCTGCTGTGTCAGAGGGAACACGTACGAATATACAAGATAACTGGTTTGGATTGTATAATGTCACAGCAACAAACAGCCAGGGAAGTGCAATGGTCAGCTATACAGTTCGTGCGCAACGTGAGTATCGGCCGTAGTTATTATAGGTTTGTTAACATGTTGTCATGTTCAGGAATGAAATACTCATATTCTTATAGGGTAATCGTTGATTTGATAATAATGTGAATTACTCGAACACTGTTTCAAAATGTATTATATCGGGTCTGCGTTAGGTTTTTCGCACTCAGTCATAGAAAGACCTTTTGCAAATTTGTTTCTTTAGAACTTTAAACCGCCATCATCAGATCGTATACAGGTTACGTTAGTTAACGTTAGTGCTTTTGCCTTCTTGTGATTGCGCGGATATGATGCCGACTTAATAGTGCTATCTCACTGAAATACAATGTCGAAGGCACTCAGCACAACATTTCACCCGATCATATTATACTGAAAACGGAAGAACCAGTTGTTGTCATTTCCCTAAATGCTGAATGTCAAGCAGGTACATGTAATAACAACTACCATTTTAAGGACTTTGGTATGTCCCGGCCTGGGGCAGAACCCATGGCCTTACTCATCTTGGCAAACGTTCAGTATTAAAGCCAAGCAAGGCGCTAAAAAAGAAAAAGTAGTTAGAAGTAGAAAGGAAATACATGGACAAAGATCTCAAATATTGAAATGGGTGCAGCAGATTTATTTTGGTTGATCTTGTCCCCAATAGTTGGGAAAACGAAAAATACCGACAGGCGGCCATTTTGAAATTAAAGAGTTAAAGTTTGTTAGCATTTTTTACCCAGAAAGAACTAGAGGGATCTTTCTCAAATTGCACATGAATGTTCCCCATGGTCTTTAGATATGCATATCGACGTTTGGGCTGATGGGTAAAACTGAGATGGCAGAATGGTGGCCATCTTGTCTTTTCAGTGAGAACGTTTGTTACCGCTATTTCTCAGACAGTTCTTGAGGGAATTTATTTTCAAAGTTTACATGAGGGTTCACGATTTTCACACGAGGATTTTTCATAGTCTGTACTTACGCAAACTAAATTTTGGGACGAATCAGATAACCCAGATGGCAACCAGGCAGCCATATTGTATTTTGACTATTCAATTTTTTATCACTTTTATATATGCATGTTTCTCTTGGTTCCTTTGTTAAATGTATCCTTGCACTAATGATAAATCATCCGTGATTGACAGCATTCCCAATTACACATCTTAAGCATTTTGCATATAGTTACGCAAATCTTGTACAATAACGTTTTGCACAGTGGCGAATAACATGACATGACAGTGATTTAAGTTAAAACAAGGTTCCTGTTTAGAAATTCCAACATACACTGGGTAATAGTACATATAAGGAAAATGAAGAGCAAATAGTGTAAAAGATCATCTTCTGTAGATCCGACAAAGATCCGTTCATGGTGGGCACCAAGGTCCTTCTATGGCCTCTTGTTCCTTGTCTAGGCAAGAGCCATCAATTGAAGAGAAATTTCAGTTTGTTTCAAAACTTAAAACTGTTCTAATAAGATCATAATTTTAAAGATGTGTATGTTGATAGTTTTCTGAAGTTTAAGTAGCAAAGCATTGGAGTCATGCATACACTCAATAGCACGAACTATAATATCACACTGTTACGCTGTATCAGATATGTTGTTTCTTCAGAAGGGTACTTTTTATCAGAAGAAACTGCCTTTACATTTTACATTTGTATCTGAATACAATACAAATAAAGTTAAATACATTAAATACAAATGTTTCATATATAATTAAAATCGATGCATTACTATAAAAAAGTACATTGACCAGAGCTTACACAAAAGAAAATTACTTTAATGATTATATTTGGACGCTTTTACACCTTGTAATCAACCACATCATGCTTTATTATCGTATATGTGTTTTACACCTCAAATGAGCTTTAGGCATACCGTTTATATCTATACAACAGGAGATCCAAGCTTCCCAATAATTTTGTCAGTTGACTGTAGACAGCCTAAGACTGCCGAAGTATCGTGGAAGGACGGCGGAAACTCCAAGTTTTACCGTGTTTTATTCAGCAGTAATGGATTTCTGAACTCAAAGCAGGTTTACCCCTTGACGATTCCATATGAAGTTGAAAGAAGTAACATCTATAGTCTGTATGTAGACAATTTGGAGGGAGAACGACTGTATTCCTTTAAAATTGCAGCATACAACGAACATGGAAATACAACATCGATCGAAGCCGTTGGATGTACAGTTCGGGAAGGTTCGTTATTTACCTTGCGTATCACGTATTGCTAATATGTTCAAAATTTCTATTGAAATTGCATACCATCTACAAAAGAAATATGTGGAAGAGAAAACATATATTAAAACGCTTAGGAAAGTTAAGATATTGGGATTTTGAGCATTTTAGCATTTTACCTCTATATTATTTCCCGATCACATATGCTACCTTTCTTGATGGCAACATCCCTGCTTCCTAATCCAACGGAGTTAAAATGTTGCAGTTGATTTCATATTCAATATCCAATAAAGAAATGTACAACACAACGTTTCGGGTGATACAGACTGATGTATGTGCTTTTTTTTAAAAGAACTATCCAGTGCTACCGACAACATGTACGTAACAGGAGTTTCCCTAACGTGTACTGGTGTGTTCACTCTCCTGCTGACAGTAGGACTCGGAATATTTATAAGTCGTACGTATTAATTATCTAACTATTTATTGAAAAAAAAAAATGCCATATTTACTGAATAATCTTCAAATAAGGATCTAAGATATTCCTATTTCATACTTATAAATTGTTCTTATATACAAATACAGTATTTGTTTTTCTAAATGATGCAAAGAACGTCTCCTAGACAACTGAAGTATTTCATAAAAAAAATAGAAAGTGTGTTTATTTCTTCACATTACAGAACTCGCTATAATAACTTATCCCTTTATAATTGTACAGGGTATGGTAGACTACCATTCATGTAAGTAAATGCATTTTGAGATAAACTTTGTCGACATCTTATTCGTTTTATCATAACTTCTTTCAATTTTTTTATGAACAGTGTATACTTATAATACCACATCTTGTCAGAATTGTTCTGTTTTGACATTATGATTAATAGAAAATAGCATGTTATTTCACAAACAATTCTCCCACAATACGATCATATAGTATGATGATGTATCAGTAAACATATAATGGTCTTTATATATTGTTTCTCAGCAAAAGACAGCATCTGAAACACAGAGAATTTCAGAAGGAGCAACTTTCAGAACAAGGTAATTTCAGCAAAGAATGCATTATAATCTTTTACTCGTTTGGTCCAAGGTATCAATGAGCAATATTTTTTGTTTCAATTTATAGAACATGTAGATGAGTTTTAGCAATGAAAAATATGTTTTATATAACGTACAGGTAAATCTTTTGTTTGTATTGAATTGAACATTTTGTTTGTTTAAATACATATCTATCCGTTTATCTTACAGACGTGGCACCTCCTGAAGAGGAAGAGCGGTAATTATATATTTTTTCTATCTTAAAATACAACATTGTGGCGTTATGCTTACTACACAAATCAACAATCATTTAATGCTTTAAATCAAATATTGATTTTTTTTCTTATTTTGTGCTACTTATTTCTACATAGATCGTCGTATGAACAACTCGATATGAATGCAATTGCCAAACCGTCCATATACTCTGAAATCGGAAGTCATCCTGAAGGTAAAGCACACACTGAGACTGATGCATGTCAATTGTCCTTACACAGTATACACATATATATAAACTTTATTTGTCAATCAGGAAAGCAGTTTTGACAATGTATATCTCTTTTTGTCCGGATGCGCTAGTTTGATCTTGATGTTGGCGGAAACCCGGTTTTCCAGATCAAAATTAGATCGCGATGATAAATTTCGTGCAGCATAGATATTTAAATGTCTCACTCATATACTTTGTATTTGGGTGAAAGAATTTATTAAAAAAAACGTTATTGAATTGTTTTTTATCTAGATTGTCCGATAGCAAACGGGTAAACATTTTTTTTTAACGCCTCTTCATCTACATTTAAACAAAATGCATGCTGATTTGAATGCAGGAATAAAAACTGCTTGGATGAGTAAGAGTAATAACTTCCCAATGTGAGATAAACCAGTGTCATCAAGTTGATATATTTATATGCATTTTAATGTTACCCAGGCTAACACAATTATGTTTGGTTGTCTGTATTTGTAGGTCACCAGAAAGAAACAGTCATTGCCAAGTGAGTATTTGTTATCAGCAATTCTATATACTGCCATGGTTTATACACATTTCTGTAGTTATGGTATACGATCTCCAACATGTGACCGACACAGTATATGTTTTTGTATTAACAGAGAGTACGAGTCTTTGGAGGGTCGGTCGAATCCAAACATATATGATGAGCCCCACGGTGTAACGTCTGGTAAGTTGTTGTCTAAACTCGTCATAAATGACAGGTGATCGGTATCATAACCAAACTTTACATAATAAAGTAAAGTCATAACTAATCCAAACACAAACCATTCCATTGAGTTCGTAATTATTAATTTACAAAAACGCTTTGATGCAACTTAATCCCTGAAATCTTAACTCCCTTCAAGATGCTTTTAAATCAGGAATGATGAATCCCACATGCATATAAGTTATTATATGAGCAAATGTAATTAGAAATTGACAAAAACAGTTTCATCTTCCGACATACCTTCAACACAAAGAATGTATGTGGTATTATAAAAGTGCATGTTTTAATTTGTTGATATTACTTTAGTTAATCAATTTGTTCATTGGTTTGTTCATGTACATATACACTGTAGTAGTATTCAACATTTTGATCTCCTGTATCTTTGATTATTGAGCATTGTTTTGAACATTTTATTTATTTAAATTTTACTATTTAAATGGGCAATTGTGGCATTTGACTATTTCCTTAATGAGAAAGAAAAAGCATATTTAGCTTGAGGTTTTTTATTGATACCACGTTCAACTCACAGATTAGTTGGTTAAAAATATTCAAAAAGAAATCCTATTACTTTTGTTCACAGGTAACAAGGGAGCATACGTCAATACAGCCGTTGCTGGGAGTTCTGCTGATTACGGAAACTAGATTTTTTTCAGTACGCGAAGATACGTGATGACAATGAACAAACAACTCGAGGAAACTTCACTTAATACTGTGATGGATGTAAATTATTTTCCTTGGCAAAACAACTATCAAACGTAGAATGCTTGTGGTATCAATAAAACAATTAAGAAATGGTCAATACAGAGTGTCACCTGCACAAACTAATACCAAACAGTCTGTTTACGTAGGAAATTGAGACACATAGGTTGCGTCTAGTAATAAAATGAAGTTTCAGCATAATGCTTAATTCGACAGTGGGTCTGAACACTGGGACATCGGCATTTCTGTGTGTACGGGTCTTCTGGGATATAATATTCACTTCAGACAACTAACAGAATAACGAGAGGAATTTCAAATGTAATCAGTATCCCGTGAGCTCGGGACATAACGACGTGATCTTTGAAGGTTTCACTTTTTGATAAATGAGTAGTTATACTCTCACGCAGGTAGAGACATACTGAGTATTTACTGACTATAATATTCCTTATATGATTTTATTCTTATCACTGTTGCTTGTTTATATTAAAAACATATTCTATGTATAAAACCAGAGTTGTATGTTCTGATTGTAGACTAACACTCCTTGGGGTAGGGCGTTACTAGTACTTTGTAGCTGGACCAAGTCTGTCGTGGCTTACATAAAATACTTTTGAAGAATAAATGAACTTTTGTAAGAAAAAGTTTTAAATGTGTCAGCTAATGAAGACTTTAGACATGTAATGTTAAGGCTCCTGGCTCTTAATACTACAGACCCTTTAGTCAATTGTATAACCTAATACATACCTTTATTATGGCAATCATACTCACTTACTCTCCTTATAATTGGTAAATTTACGTTTAGTAGTAAAAACAAGTGCTAAACTTGTTCATGAAACTCAATTACTTCATGCATTAACTTAGTGTTATTGATAAAATATGAAATGTTTTGTGAAATGTTTCATTTTGTGTATACAAACAAAAAACAAACAAAAAACCCATTAAAAATAAAAAGGAATGTTTCAGCCGAATACAAAATCACATTGTAATTAGAACACTTTATATGTGTCAGCTTATTGTACGTATAAGTTGTGTTGTCAAAGTGGTTCAGGTACATACACAAGCAAGCTTGCTTAATAAGGACGCCTTTCGAGTTAATTGACTTGTAGCATCGCTATGTTGTAGGATACTAGAAGTTAGAAGATATATTGATATAAATTTATATCCCTAAACCTATGAGTACCTTTTTCCTACGTGGAAAAAAAATCCTTAAAGAAGCCAATTCATAGATCGTCTTTTTGTGTATTCCCTTCGTTTGTGGTGGAGGGAGTAAAGAGGGGGAGGATGGTGGATATAATAAAAAACACCTTTTAACAAATTGTCAGATTTGTCAAAGGTGAAATTAGGCCATATCGGTATGCGCGATTTCTTCTTTGACAATGTGAGATAAAAATCAGCCATATTTGGCGAGAAGCATTGTTGAATGGCTGGGATTCGAAATTATACAAATAGATGCTGGTAGGATTTACCAATGGAATGGCTCTATCTCTAAGGTAGTATTTGTCATACTACTTTTGTTATAATATTTAACGTTTTTGCGTAAATATCCAGGTTAGCAATACAGGCCATCTTGGCTTCTTTTCACTCCGTAAAATATACGTAAATAGTGTGACCGCTTTTGAATGGTTGGGTGTATGCATACGTCACTAAGTCAGTTAATCTGTAATCCACTGATCAAATTGACGATTTGAAACAAGAACCAGGCCCGCACATTTTAGAGCCATTACACATTATGGTAATGTCACGTCTCAACATCTTCGACGTCAATTTATTTGGCATGGATATTTGGTTCATGTTCTGGGAAGATAATTGAACATTAAATCAGGTATGATGAGTGATGTTTTATATACATAAAGCATATCCGTTGGTTTGTATTAAATACAATTCCACCAAATTTAGTCATTGCTAATGAGACTTGCCAATTAATATGATAACATTTTCCTATAGCAATGACATTTGATTGTTCTTACACCGACCTTAGGTAAAATTTACAATGTTATGGCTATTGTTCCGTGTACTTCAATTAAATGTGGATAGCATGTGTGTTAAGTGTGACGTAAACCAATACGAATTATAATCGTAGCAGTAACTAATAAGTCGGATAAAGACAGAGTTCTGCTATGTTACCTTTTTGGGGGCTATACTTAGTTACAAAAATGAGATAGTTGTGATAATTGCGATGGCTGGATAATAAAAAAAAAAATATTATGTGCTTTACGCTCTCTTTTTTATCACAAAAAGTGGCCTTTTTAATCATTATCAAAACAAAAAAAGTGTGGTTTTATGTACGACAATATACATGTCGTACTCAGTTGAACAATTATATTTGTATTCCGTATTATTTACAATTGCAAGAATATATTTTTTATCATATCAAAGTCATCAATAATTTTAGAACCTTACTTAAACGTATGTTTGCTTACTTCATGTCTAATGTTTGACATCATTTCAATGTATGTTCCTTACCATTGATATACCTATAATAGTTCACTGATCACAAACCAGATCAAAGTAGTATACCAACAATACTAATAGTTGAGATATGAAGTAATATATCATCGTTTCAAATAATTATATCGTTGTTTTTGACCATATTTGTACAATAACTTACCATTTATGTCGCAAAATAATCTAACGTTGCCGTCTTTCTTAATCTGTAAGCGGAAACTGAAACATCAGCACATTAGTATGTATTAGTATTAGTAGTACTAATAAAACTGTTGACGTATATTTAAATGAATTAGTCACCTCCATTTTGTTAACTATAATTTACATTCTGAAAAATACATTAAAGTTAATAAAAAATACTTTAGCATTTAGCTTGATTTTTGTATTTCTTTGTATTGCATGTTATACTACATGAAGGTACTGGAATGATTCAACCTCGGCTAGTAAACGGAGAGGAGATTAATAAATGAGTACCCCTGCATATCTTTAATTTGCGCATAATTGATAATCAAACAGGGCTGAATTTAGCAATACATTACATGATTAATTTGGAAGAAAAGCTAAGAAAGGCCCATAATTATAAGATACAATTGATGTCGATCCACCGAGGTGTAATTACGATAGTATTATTATGGTTTGAAGCAAAAGGTTAAACGGGAACACGAAGTTTTGGGGGAAAACTACAATCGAACGGCAATAGACCTGTCAATCGATGGGTGTCTGATATGACAAAGATTGGGTGCAGAGTTAAACTATTGCTTCAGGGTCAAGGTAAGGGTCGGACCGCGGTAATTGATCGGCTCACGTTCATCAATATTCAAACGTGACAACATCACAACCGACCAAGTTGTCAAGGGGACTACATTGTCATTGAACAAAAATATATTTACAATGTCGTCTAAAATGGAAACTCTTCAAAAGGAGATAAGGTTACAGGCATATATTGGATAACTCTCATTCGATATGTGTCTGTCTACAGAACCTACTAATGCTTCAACATCTCTTAACGATCTTTTAAGACTCTCGTTCCAAGACGCAACGGAGTACCTGCAATCTATGAGAAAGTGAATCGTCCGACATCTCAACATATATCACGCGGAGAACGTAATGTGCGAATCGTGTCCTGTAGCCGACTGTAAGTTTATTTTATTGAGTGTCCTATTAACAACTAAGGTTATTTGATCCGCCGGCTGGGATTTTTGTCCTTAACTTATACCCCTTGAAAAGGGAGATAAACGGGAATGTCGACATACATCATATTCTATTCTATTTCTGTTTCGCACGAAAATGGAAATCTCACTTGCTATAAATTTTAATTATCCAAGCAATATTATACACTATAGGTATCAATGATTAATCAAATCGACTTAAATATCAAAGCGACAGGGTTTCCCCGTTTTATTGTACGCACACTTTCTGTAAATTGTTTACATTCGCTACGGAAGATGACAAACTGCGTTTAAAATATCTTCCATCCAATTTCAAGTATATGGATATGATAGTGTGATAGCTGCAGATATAGACGATTGGTTCAGTCACTTCTTTCCCGTTTTTCGGCTAGTAATCGTGCTAAATAGTTGCCATGTTCAGGCGTGTGGGACAAGGGTTCAGACTTACTTGCATGTGTAAAAATTGTACACTGCGACTTCCAGTTTCAACACAAAAATAAGTCAATCGGCAAGTCGTATACTTCAATAGTTATCAATGTGCTTTATCTAAGAATATGAGGACACACTTTCTTAAGTATGATGCAGTACTTTAGATGCATTGGAACACTCGGAAGAAAGAAAAACACGTGCTGTTAAATATGAGTATGTACAGCAGAGCAGAGACATAGTATATACGTCTTTGATCAAAGATTCCAAGGTATGTACACATTGAGAAAAAATAGGTGTACTATTATCATATAAAAATGAATTTGAATGTACATACTTGTGTGACTCAGAATATGTTTAATATGTGTTAAGATATCAGTTGTTTTTCCTATTTTATGAGGTTTGTATGCTCCAAATGGAGCAGACGACTTTTCTCCAATAAACATTCCTGTCAGGGACACCTATATATCCGTCCACCCACAATTTTTGTTGTATTATTAGATTAATGACCAAATGCTTCAGAAATCACAACATAAATAGAAATTGTGTAATGGCAGAAACATTAACAAAAACAGCTATTTATTGTCATGCAAATAGTCTACTCCCAACAATAAAACAGTATAGAAAACTGTGAACGTAATGCATTCAATCACTCAAACAAAACAAAACAAAAAACATATTATATAAAAAATATATTTGAATTTACCTACTTGTGAGAATATGTTTAATATGTGTTAAGATATCCGCTTTTTTCCTATTTCATTAGGCTTGTATGCTCTAAATGGAGCAGACGACTTTTCTCCAAAAACATTCCTGCCAGGGACAACTATATATCCGTCCACCCACAATGTTCCTGAGTATGTCAGTAAGTAATTCAATTCAATTATAAAGGTTATAATATTATAATCCAATTACGTATACGTTCAAGTCAATCAATTGGGTCAATAACTTTTTTTTCCATCGATAATTAGTATTCAGGTATTGGAATTATTTCAATTTGAGATATTTTATTTGTGAAATTTCTGCAGTTATGTGTACCGGGTAGGTCTTGCCAAATAGATATCCTATCTATTTGGTGCGCTATGCCATATTTAAAACAAAATGTATCCCTTCAAGTGTCCCTGTTTTATATTTGTCCAAATATAAAAAAATTCTCCACTCTTTTTTATGTTTTGAGGTGTACAATTGTATTTTCACAAACTAGCCTGCTAGTTTATTTTGAAACATTGTACTAACCCAACCTTTGTTTTCATTGTAAATATTGACAATGTTCAATAGCCCAATATTAAATCTACCAGTCCCGAATGTTGAAATTGTTGATTTGTACAGCATAACACATCTGTGACAGAGAAATTCAATATGCTTATATGTTTATGAAAAACATACTGTCATAATATTTTTGTGTGACCTTCTCATTTCATTCTCATCATAATAGACAAGCTGGTATTATGCAATGATATTATCTGTAATTGATTAATCATTCGTTGTGATGCTGTTTTTATTTTATCAAACAGTGAAACAGAAAGGATATGCCACTCAGAAACAACAATCAGAAGAATGTGGCATCAGTGTGTTACCCACATTCAGTGTATGACATGTAGGACAGATTTTGCCAGAATGTGAATCCTCTAGAAATTGCATTCAGAAGGTAAATGACATTTTTTATTTGTTATTAGTCGGTAATATTCTATGAAGAATCTTAAATTGTAGATTTTGAAGTTTTGTGTCAATTGCCACCAGAAAGCTTGTTAAATACATTTTATTCCAACCTATATCATCATTTAAATTTGTATTTGACTTTCTGTTTCATGTGTCCTACCTTTCAACTGGATAATGTTTGTAGGTAGCAACTATCGCTTTATAAACATATCTAAAATCCTTAGTTTGAAGAAGTCTTCTTAAAAAATACTATTTTTTGATTGATTGTTTATCGATGGTTGTTGGCGTATAATGTTTAAATTTGCACTTAGAATGTGGTCTATTAATCAAAATATTGTAAAAAAATCAATTTCTCACACTTAGTCTTACGGTAT